ACTTTTGTCTACCGTCAGACAATCTGAGTTGTTGTTGTCATAACGTGCTGCTATGGGTTGTGTCTTGCTTCAGATTTGACTGATAAGACTGGCATTATAACACGCAAGCTTCATGCTTTCTTACCACATGTTGCAATTATTGTGCTATTGTACATATAACATACAAGAAGTTTGTATCAGCAGTCCCATATTCAGAATTGTGACCACACAGTCTGTATACAATGTCTACCATTGTAACATGTTTACATCTACCAAAGTTTTTATATAGTCTGTATAGAGAGAGAGTATCTTATAATTATATTATATTACATTATATTATATTACTCTCTGCACAGCTCTGTATACATTTGATTGATTTTAATAACTTTAATGAAGCCTATTTGAATTGTGCATCAAACACTATAGAAATATAACGGAACTCGGTATTTGCAGATACTCAATATTCAATGACTCGGATCGGGGCACAAAAAACCTGATTGGGACATCCATAATAATAATATGTTACCAGCATTCATTCATTCATTCATTCATTCTCGACTCTAATTGTTACTCTTTAAAGTATTCTGGCAAATAGGAGGGAACAATTGTTTGGTAAGATGCACAGAGAGCAATGTGAGCAATATTATAATGAACGAAAAGAAAGAATGTCAGGGAAAGGGACGATGAGGGAAGAGGGAGAGAGAGATATTGAATGACGCTGATACAAGGCCTTTAAGAGGGACCCGCTGTTTTAGTTTCACCATGCTGAGAACAAATGGTAGTAATCTGAGCCTCTCCAGTGCAAATAAATACATGATGTGTCCTTTCTCTAAAGAGAGAGAGAGAGAGGAAAACGAAAGAGCACAAGAGACAGCACGGAACGACTAAACAAATGGCAAAGGATGGTTTCCCTAATCATTTAAAAGAGCCTCTGTCAACAGGACACCTTGTGCTTGACACATATGTCCTACTGAAGCACTTCTGAGGCATCCCTTCATTAATAAGCAGCTTTCACGTTCTGCGTCTGAGAGAGTCATCATGTCATCTCACAGCATGCAGCCCCCTTTTAAGTGTCCATAAAGCACTTAAAGACGCTCCCATGATTCTGTACAAAGCAACAAGCTACATTCAAACTCCGCTGCTTGCGTGGATTTATAATGGCATAGGTGAAAATGAATCTAGTCTATTTTGACATTAAGACAGAGAGAGGGTGGGCATAGTGTTCATAATGTGTCCTAGAATCCACCTTGGCATGCACACGCTGCTCCAAAGCTCTGCACACACGGTCTCCTCACTGAGTGAGCAGTCTTATCTATTTATTTATTAATTAATGAGCCTCTTTCTCACCTCTCTTCATCTTAATGTCAGAGTGATTTTTCCTCCTCGGTGCCTGTTATTTTGGATGATTAGGGAGTTTGCAGCAGGGTGCTAAGGCGCTCTTACTCCGAGCTTAAACATGCTAATTTAAAGCTGCGGTCTGGGTATCTGTATAGCCTGCTGAGGCAGAGATCCATACATTATGACCTAAGCTCAGCTTCTGTTCATCTATTTATTAAGGATTCAGAGAGACTGTCTCATTTGAATAAAATAGGGGATACACTTTTAAAAATAAAGTGTATTAATTGGCATCTATGGTTCCATGAAACCTTTGCATTGCACAAAACATTCTTCCAACATAGTGGAAAAAGGTTATTTTGATTTTTAAAATGTTCTTTACACTAAGAAAAAAAACGGTTATTTTTAAGAAATCCTGCAATAGTTGTCCTATGGCATTGCTGCAAAATTTTCTCACCTTGTCATTACAAATCTATATGACTTACAATTGAACTCAATAGGGGTCCACCACTTACTTTCTGTTCCACAGAAAAAAGGTGGTCATGCAGGTTTGGAATTGCATGAGGGTGCGTGAATGATGACATAATTTAAAATTTTGGGTGAACTATTCCTTTAAGATGCCTTTTCCCTGCTGCTTTCTCGCTGTTATTCTCTCTCGCTTTCTGTCTTTCTCTCTCAGCAAATTCTGTGCTGCGAGTGAGAGGGTTACATTACCACAGTGACCTCTGTTTCCTGAATGTTTATTGCAGATTCAGATATTCCTGATGGATGAAACATGAGTGTGGACGAGTCATAATTGCAGGTACACATGACATCACTGCAGTTATACAAAATGTTCTGTACAATGCTGAACTAAATCTAAAACTGACATAAACTTCTGGCATTATGAGAATTACAAAATACCAAACATGCACAGTTTCCTTGTTCAGCTTCCTATGATATCAAACAGTTGTTTGGAGAATGATCCAAACAAAATAAATGTGCCTGTGTCAAAGTAGGAAAGGGATGGTATCGTACTCAACCTTGTTCAATTTAGCATAACAAAAGGAGTGAAGAGCCATTCTCAAGACAGAACATGAAACCATCTGGCTGCAACGTGTGACACATCAAAATTATTCGCTCTCTTTTTTTTCTATCTCATCCAGGGAACCAGCACATAATATGAAGACATATACACAAGCAGATAAATTGAGTCTTTTTTCCCACCTGCCTCTGCCTGTAAATCTACTGCAGTGAAATTTGCAAAAGCAAGACTCTGAAGACGTTGAATTGTGCTGTCCTCTGGAGTAAATAAATTGCATTTTGTAAGGTTGACTACTGTTCAAAAGTTTGGGGTCAATAATTTTTTTTTTTTTTTCAAAAAATCAATATTTTTATTCAGCAAGGATGCATTAAATAGATCAAATGTAACAGTAAAAACTTTTATAATGTCACAAAAGATTATTATTTAAAATATATGCTGTTCTTTGAAACTTTCATAAAAGAATCATAAAAAAAATACATTGAAAAAAAATATTAAGCAGCTGTTTTAATAATACGGAAATGTTTCTTCAGCGCCCAATCAGCATATTAGAATGGTTTCTGAAGAATCATGTGACACTGAAGACTGGAGTAATGGCTGCTGAAAATTCAGCTTTGCCATCACAGGAATACATTACATTTTGGGCTATATTAAAATAGAAAACGTTTATTATTTATACCATATAGTTTATATTAATTATAATATTTCACAATATTACTGTACTGTACATATTTAATCAAACAAATGCAGCACTGGTAAGCATACAATAATTCTTTCAAATACAATACAAAAACAATGTGTGGTAAAAAGGCAAAGATTTGTAAGTTTATGACAGGGAAGAGTATCAGAGTAAAACTTCTGCACTTAAGTCTTCAAAGATGGAGCCGTAGGTGTTTCTCCATTACAAATGAAATTACATTTTGATCTATTAACATAAACCTTTTTATTGTGAGCAGATTTGTGAATAGGTCAATAAGGCTTTCAGAGTCTATTCTACATTTTCTGATTATAACAGTGAGGGCCAAGGACTGGATGTTCAGAAACCATCAGAGTTGAACACATTAAGTCAGTCTTTCTTATTTAAGTGTAGCGGCACATTTATCAAGGCACAAGTGTTGGAAGCAAGATTATAGTTTGCAGAATTAAATTAGATACAGAATGTACTGTAACTGTAGAAATGTGGTTTTCTTAAAGCGTCCATCTGCCATTGTATGTTACCAATGTAAATTTATGTTTAGTGTCATACAAACTATAACACAAAACTATTTGAACTTGGAACACCCTACCATTTCTGAACTAAGCTGTAGGTCACTCAAGGAAAGCAGACTGGGGAAAAGGAAAAACCTGAATATTATAGCCTTCAGTAGTGGAAAAGTAGCATGATGGAGAAAGTCTGAATGCCATCAGTTGTGTTGGTTTAAATTATATTGCAGGCTACATCTACCATGCCACATGCATTAATATTACATTGCTTGCTCATGAATTAGACAGAATTGCTGTCACCCTGGCATAACTAGCTTTCTTACTCTCGAGACTGGCCAGCAGCAGACACAGCCTCCCAGAGATCATAAATATCTCATTGTGCTTTCTGCTAAATTCTGTGCAACGGCACAAGAGAAGTGAGATTTTAGATGGCATCAGCCAGCTGACGAGGGAACCTGAGGAGACCTTTGTCCATGCACCATTAGAACGTCACGACTCTCCATGAATAAAAGACAAGAAAATAGGCTTCTGACTGATTGTGCTTTTCTGTTTCTCTTACTAAAGATGATACAGTTGTCCAACTCTGAATACCATCTCTCAGTCAAGTCAAGTTTACAGTACTTTCACACAACATCTCCGTGAAGTATTTTTTTCACAAATTCAAACCACAGGGCCATGGCTTATCTTTAACTGCTTTCTGAATGTGACAGTTTATCTTTGGGATTATGGAATTGCCTAGAAATTAATGCCTGCAGATAATGCATGCCATTATACAGTTCAGTCATTTACTTGTATTTTAATTTGACAGTGGTGTATAATGGTTATTATCTATTATTAAAGCAGGCATTAGATGTACCCTGCTGTCACACTATCAAGAAGGGCTTCTGTATGGTTTTAAGGAGTGATGGGTGCAGATGGTTCAGACCCAAAGGACCATAAAATGCACTCATTATTAGTGACAGACTCTGATGGGATTAATCTACGGTTAGTGCCAATTGTGGCATTTACTGAGTCATCATGATCTAGGTTATAATGAATGATCATGCCTCTCTGCATTATTCATGAACATTTTTTCACACTTACTTAACTTTATTTATTTACACCTATATAAAGTGTGTGTATGCTTGTGTTATTATATATATATATATATATATATATATATATATATATATATATATATATATATATATATATATTATATATAATATATACTTAAGCTGTTTTTAATAATAATAATAATATGTATTATTAAAAGGCTAAATAATAAGCTATTTTTATTAATACACTACATTGTACATTATATTACTTATATTAATTACTTAATATTAAGTATTTATATATTGTATGTAAATAGCTTAACTTATATGCAGTTATGCAATATCTATGAAATTTAAATATTGAAATTAATTTATTAATTAAACTTGTGAATATAAAATGTGTTTTTATTGAACGATCCACTGATGCCGCTTCTTCGTTCAGGTGCTTAACTGCTCCTTAAAAACGTCGAGGGAATCTCTTGTCCTCCGACGTTGTTTTTTTTTAGTTTTTGGGGTTTGCGGGTTTAGACACAGGATTGTTTTGTGATGGGTGGTGGAAGCGAATCGCGGATTTTTTCTCTTTTTATGGAGACCAAAGTGAGCAGATTTCCTACTGTTGAAAGCAAGTTTTATCTTGATAAGAAGCAAATTGAGGAACAGAGGATTCTTTAGGGGCACCGGATACTTTCTCAAGAGAATAACACTTTTCACACACAGTTTTCCTAACAGAAAGGGGGTTTTCTGGTCCGCAACATTGGATTTTACATTCTGTTTAACTGACGCAGCATCGTTTTGGAGTATCTTATTTGGAGATTCCAGTCATTTTATTCTACATTTCGGGGAATAAACTATATCTTAAAAAGAAGAAACCCGGACGAGACGAAGTTATGCAAATGCCAATGAAATAAACCCCGTTTCTCCAGGTCAAATGACCGCTTCCACTCGTTCTCCAATCTGACCACCTTATTTATGACATGGAAAAACGGGCACTCCACAGCGTCCTTTATTATTTCATTCTGAATGCGCCCCTGCTATTCTGTGTAAATGGTGAGTAAACTTGAACAGATTTTCGTCTCTCCCATGTTGCGCATTTACTCAGTACGAGCAGTCTGTTGCGATTCTGTTAGTTTTCCTCTTTTTTTACTGTGCGTCTTTTTTTATGTGAAATTACTGCATTGTTCTTGTTTAAGTTTCATTGTTTTGTTTTTCATGCCATATTGATGCATATTAAACCTCTTATTAAATACTCTGAATACTGAACATACTCCCATCTGAACCGTGATATTACAGGCTACTAAAGCCAAATGCAGTTCATGAGAAAGCTTTTAAAACACAAAATATAAATGTGTCATCTTGAATATATGCCTTAATGAATCTATTTGAAGGGTTTCTTTTAACCGCACTATCTGCTGTTGATGTGTTTTCTTCATAAGCCACATTTACTGAAGTGCCCAAAGATGTGAGTGTCGGTGAGGGCGAGGACATAGAGATGCCGTGCGCTTTTCGAGCTGTCGGAGTCTCGCCGTTCTCTCTGGAGATCCAGTGGTGGTACCTCAAGGAAGCGGCCCCTAAAGAGCTCGCACACGAACTGCAAATTAGCGCTCCGGCCAACAGAGCCAAGGTAAAGGGGCTTTCGTTGTTCTCAAAGCCGCTTGAACACATACTATTTCCGTTCAAGTTCTTATTGGAGTCGCACCAGGAGTGCTGTTTGTCGGCGCAGTGGGATGTGGCAGGCTTCACGTGTCCAGGTGCGTCCAGTTGGATCCCCTGTGATGAGCGATCTCAATTAAACGCACTGATCGAGGCGATTAATTATTAATTTATGTCGTTGAATCAAGTTGGGTTGTATGTCTGTGGGTGGGCATTCCGAAGCAGAATAGGAATGTCATGCTTAATTATACAAAATAAATAAATAATAAGTAAATAAATGCCACACGGTGTTTACCAAGGCCTGAGATGTTTCCTTATAGAGATAATATCATATCTGTCAATTTCTGACTGACAAACCAAACCAAAATTAACCAAAATCTGCCTTTGCATCTCAGCTTTTGTCAGTGGACCTGAAGGTCTCCTATATTGAAAGTGACATATAAAACACTAGATGTCTGTTGAACCAGTAATATGAATCCTGCCATAGCCATATGAAAGATACCGCAAAACAGCATCAGAGGGAACTGTCGCTGTCCATGGTGCTACTCCAAACGAAAGGCCCTCTCGTTTATTATTAATTGTAAGGTCTTTCAAGTGTCAATAAAAGTTGCACAGTGATATTGTGACACGAGTAGCCTAATTAAACTACTCATGCTGGCTACTCATGTTGTTTTGATGTGATCTTTTACAGGTTGCCCACCGGGACGCCACGAAAATAAGCGTGAGTGTCAATACGTATTACACTAACCGTATTTTTGATCATAACTTTTTGCAATGTTTAGTAGAATCAGAATCTGCTTGAAGAAAGAAACGAAACTATGAATGACTATAAATAATTAATTATTAATGATAAAACGCTATTGTGACATTTCTTCCCCTATACTGCTAATTGGGTGCACACAGATCTGTTGATATTTCAGCTGACATTTTTGTAAGAATTAATAATGATTGACGTCTTTCACTGGATTTGCTTTGGACACATGAGGAGGAAACGTGCTTTCGTTTTAATAAAGGTCAAATAAATAAATAAACAGATAGATAGATAGATAGATTTATATAAAAAAACTAAAACTATTTAATAAAAACAACTAGTTCTATAGGTAATTGGGACTCATTCTTGTGAAGTTGGATTCACTCAAATCTTACTGCGCACGATAGACTATTAGTCTGCGTGTGAGATGTGAATTAATTTTCTGTAATGAATAAAGTGATACATAATGACAGTCAGCTACATATGTTTCGCAAATGGAGCGTTTGAAACTGTTCCTAACGCAAAGTTCTAGAGCGTACTGTTGCTATGGTTACCTCCCCAGCGAACGCAAGTTCGAAAAGATCTATTTGGCTACAGATGAAAATATAGTACTAATTTGATTACTAAAAGTAGCAACTTACTTATTATAGGCTAATATCGGGAATGTACCCTGTAAATGTACTTTTGTAAGACTTCCCAACAATGTGAGCGCTAACCAGCCCCACCCCCCATAATTCGGACATGTTTTGTTTAATGAAACTAAAACTATTTAATAAAAACAACTAGTTCTATAGGTAATTGGGACTCATTCTTGTGAAGTTGGATTCACTCAAATCTTACTGCGCACGATAGACTATAGTCTGCGTGTGAGATGTGAATTAATTTTCTGTAATGAATAAAGTGATACATAATGACAGTCAGCTACATATGTTTCGCAAATGGAGCGTTTGAAACTGTTCCTAACGCAAAGTTCTAGAGCGTACTGTTGCTATGGTTACCTCCCCAGCGAACGCAAGTTCGAAAAGATCTATTTGGCTACAGATGAAAATATAGTACTAATTTGATTACTAAAAGTAGCAACTTACTTATTATAGGCTAATATCGGGAATGTACCCTGTAAATGTACTTTTGTAAGACTTCCCAACAATGTGAGCGCTAACCAGCCCCACCCCCCATAATTCGGACATGTTTTGTTTAATGGTAAATAATACGAAAAAAAATGGCCAATGAGACTGTGCTGCCAAAACTATGATGTCAACAAAACCTGTTGTGATGTGGTATTTATATCTCTTGGTGAACAGACGGTGAGGGTCCAGGGCAACGCTATTTCCCACAAGCTCAGCCTATCGGGTGTGCGGAAGGAGGACGAGGGAGTGTATGAGTGTCGGGTTTTGGACTTGTACTCTGATGAGACTCAGGAATACAAGGTGCAGGCCACTCTGCGCGTGACATCGCGCGAGGGAATGCTGGCCGAGGAGGCCGTATCTCACATCCAGAACCGATGGCCACTGAGGAACAGCAACACAGCGACGGGTGGACGGGCCACTTCTGAGCCGGGCCAGGGTAAGGGAAAACCCCGCATGCCTCCGCCGGTTGGAATAGGACCCGCTCCCCCTTCAACGACTACGACGGGCTCTGCAGACAAGGCGTCAGCTTCGCCTCGGCCGGGCAATTCATCTATCCTGAGACAACAGCACGGATCCGGTGAGTCACAGTGCAACAGCGACACCGAGCGGTCTAGAGAGGGGAAATAATCAGGCGTTCAATGTTTGATTGTGTGTGTGTGTGTGTGTGTGCGTGAGTGCGTGCGTGCGTGTGCGAGCGTGTGTGTGTGTGTGTGTGTGTGTGTGTGTGTTTTAATGGAATTAATGTTTCAAGCCAGGACCTAGCACTATAGAATGTGGTGTGCACTATAGAATGTAGCTCACAATGCAGAAAATGTATTAAATATGATGTATTTTTTAAATTACTGATATGTACAGTCTAGGCATTTAATTCTAATATTATCCCCATGATACAAGTGAATAGATTTTGCTTTTGACATACCGTCTGTGTTTCCAAATGTTATGAGTGTGTAATGGGAGTAGGCTATTCATTTTTGTTGCTCTGCCGCTAAACCTCACCCAAGTATAATTTCACGAATCCATTTACTGGTATGTTTATTAGGCTGTTTTTTGCATATGAACCATAGGCTGGCCTCCACAATGTAGGCAACATTTTTTTTTTTATATATATAGTGAGCTAATGATGTTTTAATTATTTATCCATAAGCCTAACCCTCCTGGAACACTGCATTTATAGATTTTCATTAAGACATTATTTAGTATGTTTATTAAGCTGTTTTCCTCATGGGGACAGTTGGCTGCACCCCTGCGGATTGGTGATTTCAGGTTTTGCTATCACAGTGAGGACATTTGGTCGCCACAATGAAGGCTGTTGTTGTGACCCATACACACTATCGGTGAAGCACATCTCAGAATAATCACATTTGCTGCAAGGTTTAATTTGTCGCCGTGCCATATCAAACCTCTGTCTGCTCAGTAGGCAGTTGAAAATTGTGTGTGTGTGTGTGTGTGTGTGTGTGTTTTATGTGTGTGATGCTTTATCTATCGTGTACTCTATTCTCTGTGAGTGAAAATGCAAGAGATAAAAGCTGCTGGCGACACCATGGCTGTCTTAAGCAGGAAGTGCCGTTGCGATCTGTCCAGCCTCAGCGCATCAGTCTCAACCCTTTTTTGTCTCTTTATGACCACGGTGCAGTGTGACAGAGAGGTTATCAAGATATCACCTTGTCTCTTTAACTCTTGCTTTGAGGTCAGGGCCTCTATTTATTGGGGGCTTCATTGGGGATTTAGAGGGTTGGGTGTGTTCTGACTCTCACTTCTGTCACCGCAGGAGTGATTCCTGCAGACAACGGAGGGCGATTACATGAAGTCTCTAGCTGAGCCAGAGGAGTTTGTTTGTGACAGGGATGCATTACCCTGCAGTGACTTCTAAACACTGTGGACTATAGACTGATACAGTGATGTTTACAGTTATGGTGGACTATAACTGCGCAGTAAAGTCTCATGAGAGACCCCTGTCAACAGTTGTCTTCTAGGACTTCAGTGGTGAGCAAGAAGAGATAGCATCCTGTTAATTCGGTTTTAGAACTGTAACAGTTCACTTTTCATGAGAATATTAAGTTAGATTTTCGATTCTCATTACAAAATATTTATGTTTGACAAGCCTGATCAGGAAAGTAATCCTATTATGTGTAACATTTATTTAAAAAATTTTTTTTAAGTTTCTAAAGCATTTGTAACAATAGTGCTGAATAGAACCCTTTTTTATAAGGTTCCATAAAGAACCATGTCTTGAAATTACTATACAGAATTTTTAATGGTGTTATAAGTACAATTTTTAACAATGGATTATTTTCATAATTAGTAGTGTATTTATATTATTAATGAAAGTATTATTAATATGATTTTATATCTTATTTATTAATATTGTTTTTGCATTCCTATATCTGCCTGGTCTTACAATATCTAAGCCTCTATTAGAGTTTAACAGAAAAAAACAACAACAGCATTTTATGTCAATTAGGTAATTTTTTGACATATGAAATTGTTGCAAAAATGACAGTGCTCTAACAACATTTATTATCTGAATATTTTAATAAATGACAATTGACAATGAACTAATGAATAAATACATTAAAAATTACAAAACAAAATGGAAGCAGAAAATAGAGAAAGTTCCACTGAAATATTTTCACAATCCTCTATGATGCCTTTAAAGTGATAGTTCACCCAAAAACAAAACAAAAAAATCTGTCATAATTTAATCACATTTGAATTGTTACAAACCCACATAAGTTTTCTTTTTCTGTTGAGCACAAAATAAGATATTTTGAAGAATGTGGGTAACTAAACAGTTGACGGTAGCCATTGACTTCCATAGTACGGAAGAAAATGTTATGGAAATCAATGGCTAGCATCAACATTTAACTTTTACTGGCCCCAAACTTGTAGCATATATATTTGATGATATTTGTTTGATACAAATAAAAATAATTCATGCTTTTAAACAGGCTACAACAAATTCCATGTGCAAACAGCATAAAAAATGTCAAATGTTTATTTTATTAAGTAAATGTAGCTTTTTTAATGCAACATTTCTTGATAAAGAATCTTAAGCAGCAGGATGCATTTGATCCTATATGAAACTGCGGCACAAGCTGTTTTTGGACCATGACATCCGTGTATATATATACACCCATGTTTGTGTGTGCATGTGGGAGTGACTGTATGTGTGCCAACATGCTCAGCCAGCCATATCTTTAGTGCAGCCAGACATGGAGGCAGCCATTTGGCGAGCATGTCGGACATTAAGAGGGCCAGTGCTCTGATCAGCCACGGTATTGCATTCCAGGCTTTATTTCTCTTTCTATGGTTATTCTGCCGCCCCATTCTTTATTGTCCTCTCTTTAGAATAGATTAACTTTTGGCTTGTCATACTTAATCATTAATAAAGCATATTTATTAAAAAAAGAGGAGAATGTTGTATAATTTGGTCATTTGCCTTTGTTAGGAAATACAAGTCATGGTTTAAAATCGTCAGTGCTAGTTTCTCCCTTATTTGATATTAATTGCTAAATATGTGTAAGATTTTAGATTATACATATTACTCTTCTGAATGCGAGGGATTTTTACAGGGTCAGGCAGATTGATTCAAATGAACCAGCAAACCAATGCTAGTCACTCTGTCATGTGTCAGTAAATGCTTGAGCACATTTAACATTGACAGAAAGATCTCAAATTTGTCTTTTTCCTCTTTTAGGAGCTCTGCTTTTGTCATTGACGTGAGAAGGTTAAAGAGTCATCTGCCACATTTGAAGGATTGCACCTTTCAGTTCTGACCACACTATTAGCTTTTGAGGAGAGAAAGAAAATTCACCCCTCGCTGCTCACGCTCACTCTCTTTCTCTGTCATACACGCATACCTCCTCTTTTGGAAACATGCATCTGTCACTTTTCCACAATGTCATCTCATTGAGTGGCAGAAACAATTAATATTAAAGGAATGCCACGGGCGGGAGCTGATAAGCTTGGTCTTCTACATGCTGTCAGGTGCATCGAATTGCCTCTTGCTGCTTTCACTTCTTTTATTTGTTATTTTTCCCAGCAGGGCTGGGTGGCATATCTGTCCATACTGGAAAGAGCAGATTAAATCATTGCACTGTTGAAAATGGCCCACCAAATGCCCACCAAGCCCAAGAATAAAAAATGCAGGTCTCTGAGGAACAGCTCATGTCTGATTGCCTTCTCATGAGTGCGTCAAGCATTAAAATGTGTGTTTTGCAGACGTGCTCTATAATTAAATGTGATTTGTGGTAATGCTTACTGGAATAAGACATTGTCTCAGCGTGCTGTTTGTTTAATTAATTCAGAAACTCATTTCTTATTAATACCACTGCTTCCTGATTGTATAATTAAGCTTTGTCGTTGCCCTTAGGTTAAATTGACGTTAAAATACTTTTCACAAAGATTCAGGTTAGAATAATCTAATTACACAACTTAATTTTACCCTTACATATTCCTCTTTGCGTCAGAAAGGGGGGCAGGAGAGGGATGACTTACTTTTCTTCTGTGAAAAAACAAACAAACAAAAGTTTTCTTATTTTACTTTTTTTATTTTTTTTGGAGCAAGACTAATTAGTTTGAAAAAGAGGGAAAGAAATACAATGAGAATAGAAGCACAAACTGGCTTATGCAATCTCTACCCACAATGCATCATGCCACCTCTGGTGTACTGACGTCCTTGATAATTTTATATCACTCCAGCCGCACAGCTGTTTTAATCTAGTCTTGTTTGTGCGTCCGTGTGTTTTCTCAGAACTCAGCATTCCCTCTTCATCTCAATCTGGTTATTTTGCGTGCACTATAATTATACAGAACACACGTGTGACATTCCTGGTTCAGTTTTACTAACCTTTCAAGCACAATTTTGCCTCCCACACATTTTGCAAACTTAAAACACCCGTTATCAAATTGCGTTCCCCCTTGAGAGCGAACACAGGGGGTTGTGGTGGTGGGCTGATTGCGTGCTTGAAGGGAGAAGCCTAGTGTTTAGTGCTGCTGGACAGCTTTCACACTTAACCGATGAGCCTCATCCAGCTGCAGACCCCCTGCCACAGACATCTTTTAACTGGATGTGTTTGTGCATTGTCACTGTGTGGGAAGCACTTCAGCACTCTTAGGCGAGTGCTAATTGTTTCATCTCTGTTTGTGTCATGTTGGGACACTGTGCTTAGTTGTGTACCTGCTGACTCCTCTAGGGAAATCAAGGGGAACATTGTCTCAAACTAGCTTTTGTTTGGCTACATGACTCACTCAGACAGACAAACAGACAGACACACAGACACAGAGAGAGAGAGAGAGAGAGAGAGAAAGATGAAGGTAAGCCTGAACATAAAGCATTAGAGCATGAATAATAGATATGTGATAGCTGGCTAAAATTGGTGTAGAAATAAGTTTAAAAATGGGAGGTGACAGAATAAATGGACAATCCAGAGAAAAATAAGACAGCTTCATGACTCATTGTCAGCTATTTCAGTCAAAGCAGTGTGTCCACCATTTGAACTTAAACTTGATAGAGACACAGTTTGTTCATTTATTCATTTAATTTACATTAAGGACGTCAAATTAAGGGAACAATTA